CATGAATTTCACATTTAATTTTATTTAGTCTGATCTCATACATTTCTTGATATGAATTCTGCTGAGACTAGTCATTAAAAAAACATGTAAAGTGACTATATATCAGATCTTAAAATGAAATCATGACTTGAAAAAAATAAGAAAGTAATTTCATTTGATTTCATTTAGTTTCATTCTTGATATAAAGTTACTATTTTTAGACATTTTAAGGTTTTTTTTAGACTATTTTTAATTTTTGAAAAGTAATACTTTTTAATAATATTTAAATGAGACTTAAAGTTATTTAAAGTAATAAAAATAATTTAAATTGAGAAGTGAAAATCATGATTTCATTTGAAAAATATGACAAGAGTAGACAGTAAGTTTCACTGAGACAGTATGAAACTACTATCTAATATTAAAACTATGTAATGAGATCAGTCAAATTGATAATGAAACTATTAAAAAATCTGATCCTGGTCTCAGACACGGTTACACGGTCAGTCTATGCAGAACACTAGCTGAATCAGAGATAGGTCACATGATCGCGAACACTAGTAGCGTGCTAATTCACATGAAGCTAGGGCAGACATTATGATCATATAAGCATGATTAAATCTGGTGAGAGAGAATGTGATTCAGAAGAATGTATAACTGTCAGATAATAACACAGTCACTTTCAAACTTGCTTATGAATGTAAAGAGGCCATAGCAGCCATCAATTAATTTAGTGTACAGTATATAAGAAGTCAGCGTACGCCTGTAATCGTACGCTGGTTCAAGCAATCTTTGAATCACAGTGAAAGAGCTTAACTTTGAAGTCTACAGATTCTAATTAAGCGGGTAACACTGATGACTGCAAATCTACATCAGATCTTCTCATCTGTCTCACTAGTAGATTAATTATGTGGAAATTCATTAAGTAAATAATTGTAATGCTGAGTATTACAGAAGCAGAGTATATATCTGTCTCTGAGAGTCTTAAAACTATAATCGGACTGTATAAACTACTTATAAAGCTTGAATTTCTACTCTCTGATTTTACAGTTTCTCTATACATTGATAATAACAGAGTAATTGCTGTGATAAATAGTGAAAAGATTATCTGTAATATATGCTATATCAATATTAAATATTATAATGTTCATGATACTGCAGCTGCAGATGTTATTAAAATTATATAAATAGATATTATTAATATAACTGTAGATACTCTAATAAAAGCTCTAACAGCTGAAGTTTATAAAGATACTCTGATTAATATAAAAATCTGAATATCTACAGTTAGAAAAGCTCTGAAGATATTCTGATAAATACAGAGTTTTATCAGTTTACTATCTCTACAGTAGTTCATTCATTTATTTTACTGTTTCTTTATTTTCTTATTCTTCAAATTCTTATTAGTTCTCCATGAAATCTTTGACAGAAGACACTACTATTTTTATATATAATATTTCTTCTTCAGTTATAGAATTGCTCTGCTGAGTTGTAAATGTCTACTCAGCAGAGCAGTGATTAAGAGAGATATCAGATTTTCTTTACAGACTGACTACTTTCTAAGCAAGATATTCACTGATTACTTAATAAATATCTATTATATATAAAAAGTCATACAATAGATAGATCTCAATAATACAATTAACTACTATATTATATTATCTTTATTAAATACTATTTTTCTTTATTCTGAAATATTTTTATTATTTTATTATCAAACTTTATACTCTGATAAAAACTAATATTACTTTTATTTTATAACTCAGAATTTTTTTTATAATAAGTAATTATTTTATTAATAAATTATTTAAAAAAAAAAAAATTTACGCTCTGAGCTAAATTCCGATATAACAGATATATTATTTATAAAATTATATTAAAATAACTGCTTTTTCTAAGTATATAAAATAAGTAATATTCTCTGCAATGAAGAATATATTTTTTTAATAAATATAAATCTACTGATCAGTGAATTTAGAGAAAATAAAATATATCTAGTAAAAAGTAAAAGTCTTTCTGAAAAAGATAAACTACTCTTGTCAAAATATTAGTACAATGTTTTTAAAAACAAAATGTGCCATTCAAGCTATAACCTGTAGAATAGTGGTTGGTCATGTGATCTAGGGAGATCGCCACAGGCAATAGCCGCAGCGGCCGCAGCGGCCAACATATAGTTTTGGGGCGAGATAGAGCGGTTCATAAGCGGGAGATGTTAATCTGTCCCGATATACAACTACAGCCGAAACCGGGTTCAAATTTTAATCAACCTTGATAGATCGATAAATGCGTTGGACGAACATCCAGCTTGCAATTAGACCAATGGATCCTGTGTTGTGAAAAGACATCAGCATTCAAGGCCAAAACAAGGGGGGTTTATTTGGGTAAAATTGTTGAAAAAGTGGATGCCAGTGGCTGGCTAGTAAAGCTTTTGGAAATAAAGGAATAAGGAGTCATACCAGTTAAAATAAATACTAAAAATGCTATCAGAGCCGAATATCCCAAATACAATACTGCACCTGTCAACCCGCCAAAGCTCACACGGGTTGCCCAGAAGACCAGGGCGTTCAAAAATACGTAACCGCCAGTCATCCCCGCACCAATAAACGCCCGCCAGTGCCATCGGTAATCCTCGGCACACAAGAGGAAATACACGAGCAGAACTGTCGTTGCCGCTGAGGTAATGATCATGAGGCCGTAGCAGAGGAAGAGGAACCCAAACATATAGTAGATTTTACTCGTCCAGAGGGAATGCATGATAAAGTAAAGTTCAACGAAGATGGCGGCAAATGGGAGGAGGCCTGTAATAAGTGTTGATGGGATGGGGCGGAGGGAGCCACCCACTGGTGGGATTTGGCGTGGGATTTGGTTCGTTCTGGTCGGGCCTTCGATAGCCTATAAGGGAAACAGTTAGCAAGAGAAATGGTGGTAGACGTGTAATTGGTGTAGACCTACTAGCTGCTTCAATCCGACCCAGCTACCGGCGACACTAAGAGGAACGCTGATAACAAACCATATCAAAACGGTGATGAGCATGGTTGTGAACGGTACAGCGCCGCTGGATCCCTTGAACCAGACGAAGAGGTTCAAAAAGAAAAATGTTGAGAAGGCAATTCCAGGAGTTAGAACTGGTGTGAGAACTATGAGTTTCTTCCATGCTTCGCCGCCAAATGATTTGTATGCCCTCGCAGCGACGTAGCCACCAATAAATCCGAGGAAAGTATAAAGGATCAATATTATTGTCCCTAGGAATCCACGATTTGAAGGGGAAAGTAATCCGAGGAGCGCAAAAACTAGGTAAAAGTTAGCAAGAGACACGAAATATAACTAGAAAAATATGAACGTCACTTACGGACTGTGATCCCGGTCATCACAAACAGCTGTGCACCATTCCCCAAGAATACGCTGAGGAGAAGAGGGTGCTTTGGGCAACGGAACACGTCTCCGTGGACTAGCTTCCACCCAGAATCCTCCTGAATTCCATCCTCGACAGTCGCAGAGGTGTCATTCAAGTCGTCCAAAGTGATCATATCCAACCTGTTATATCTCGCAATGTCTTTTCTCAAAGCGCGGAGCAAAATAGAGCTCACCAAGGCGACAAGCAAGACAACGAATACGGCAGAGTAGATGAGCGAGTACCAATGAACATTCGGGTCGAAGACGTGAAGATATTTGTCCCAGCGGGTTGCCCACACGGTTGGAGATTCCCTCCAGAACACGCTGTATGTCCACGCAATTGTGGTATCCTCTTCCTCATCGAGAACAACGGGAGGTCCGTCTAGGTCGCATTCTGCCTTCCCATCCACAATTTTGCTATTCTTGTGCGATTCCGGGAGAACTAGAACACCAACAACCCGGTATTTGATTTCCTTCCCCAAGCCGCTAACTGTGTGATAATCTATTAAAATGTTATAGTGGTTGTTGAGAATTGCTTGGCCGTCATCGTCCACCGAACCTAGGGTGAATCCGGGGCTATAGAATTCGGTTCCGGTTTGCTCGTCGATATTGATCTGAGCGGCGGGGAGTCCGTCGATCAACCAGTTAATATTATAGTGCTGCCATATCAGGCGATTAACGAACTTGCTACTCTTAGGGTCAAATGTCACGTCAGAACATAATGGCTTGCAAGTTTCATTCTTGGCCATATGTAGATCGAAGGGAGAGGTGCGGATACGGTCCCCAAATACAATGCTGCCGAGCGACTCCCGAACGTATTTCGGGCCATCTTTTGGCCGGCAAAAATGGAAAGCAGGATGATAATAGTCGTAGGGGATGACGGAATGAAGCTGTTCATCAAGCTCAGATATCGCAGGGGTAATGCGATTAACGTGAAGCGGGACTAGCTGTCCTTGGTCGTATGATGTTGGAGCGACACCTGGCAGATAGAAGGCGGAGGTAAACTGCGGAGAAAGGAGGACCGCGCAGGAGAGAAGCTGCAGCTTCTTAGAACACAACATTTTTAGGCAGCTATCTGATATAGGCAAATTTAAATTTAGCACTGATCAAGGTCGGTCCCCCGGATAGTTGGAGTTACATACTGGCAAGGGCGCAGGTTCGCCAGTTAGGAGATAAACATGGAGAGCCGTTTTCAAGACACCATGTGCGTTTTACAGTGAAAAGGAAGATATCTAGAAGGGAGAAGCTTTATTTGCGAATATAAATCATACAGAGAGCAGGCCGAACTGTAAAATAGCAATTCCAGCCTTGAGAATGGCGTTTCAAGTAGAACAATTGAAGTTGGCTCGGAGGTTTCTTTAAGATTGGCTCGACCGTTGATAGTCACGTGGTAGTTAACCATGTAGTCACGTGATGATAATGTAGACGCCCGACCCCGATACACCAGCGAATCACATATCATATCAAGCCAAACTCCAATAACTTTAATTCACATCCGCAGTACCGTACCTCCTTGTAACAGTTCACTCCACCACCATTGCGCCTTGCTCGATTGAATGATTAATAAAACAGAGAAGAGAAAAACCCAACCAAGAATAAAATAATTTAAAAACAGAATGAACTCTAACTTCCTAGAGCGCCGACAGGCTTGCTCCGCTCAGGTTGATAACACGTGCGCCCATCGCTCCCGCGGGACTGGGGGCCAATCCGCGAGCACTTTGGCCGAATCTTGGGTTAGGGGTTGGTTTCACCCAGCCGGGAACCTGGCCATCTTCGCTTTCTTTAGCACAAATGGTTCGCCATACATTAGGAAACCCCGTTGGGAGGGGCCCTTTCAATCGTGCTCCCGGGATAGCGAAGCGTGGGTTCTTATGGGTTAGATAGCCACGCATCAGATCTTGTACAAGAAGTGAGGCAAGAACTGATTCGACGTCGCGCATCAATGGTGAAGGGGCTTCTAGATCGTTTTCATCCTCTGGTATGGTTCCTGCACTAGGTATATATGCAAGCGCATCAGCGACGAGATTCTCGGCATCTTGTTGTTCACCAGCGGGGTGGTTAGGTAGATCATTTGGGCTAGAGACATGCACCCATTCCCCATCGCGGTCGAAATACCCGTCGGGATCGAAGTAGTCATCATAATCAGTAGTTGCGTTGGGCGTAGTATTGTTCGCGGCGTCTAGTTTAGCGAAATCGCGATCTGCAGCGAAGGAGAAGAGCCGCCTTTCTTGAGATGGATTCGACGTTTGTAGCGTTTGCCCAGGTTGGCTTATAGCGGAAAGCGAATGCAGCGTTTGTTTGGACCAACGGGATTCTATCCACATAACGGCTTCTTCTACTTTGCTAAGATAGAGGAATGGTGGGGGGCCTCTTTGTGCCTGGGCTTTCTGATCCCCATGGAACCCGGAGAAGATAAATACTTTCTTGGCAAGGGAACGCCAAACTAGAATCTCACACCTGTTTCGTAATTGCAGCAAAATCCCCTTGCGAGCGAAAAAGTCTGCATGAGGTGAGTCAACATCGAGGTACGATCGAAAGGCACCTAGGTCACCACTGGTGATGATCCGGCATATGGGTAAAAATACGTCGTCAAAACCCTTTGATTCCGGCCGTTCGAGTAGAGTGCTGGATGGGAAACGCCCGAGGATAATGTTACATGGTATTAAATATGTTAAAATGAGGTGCCGCTGTTGGAGTGCTTGCCTATGGCATTGGTTATAGGCGGCCTGCAATGCGGTTTGAGCGGGGAAGAAAAGATTGTTCGAAAAGAGATATCGCCCCAAGTAATAAAGATAGGTTACCCTTTGCGCGGCCGGGAAATGGGAAAGCGGAGGAGATTGGGCATTGATACTCGCAAACATTTGCTCAGCATTTCTAAGTTTGCCACACTGGTCGGTGAATGGTTAGCTGCCTAGCAAGGAAACAAATAAAAACATTACGAGCGAAGCACCTTGAATAAAAGCTTCAAACATAGGTTTGCCATCAAGTAGATTCCCACGCGTTTCCCTTCTGGCTTCCCTTGTGTACTAGCTGCCCCACTCCTATCAGTTAGGCATTTGATAAAGCTTCACGAACGACATTCGCTGATTTCTCAACTAGCGTGACCTTCTCCGTTGCTTCGTCTGATCCAGCTGCCTCTTTTAGCAAATGCGAGACCAGTTCTGGTCGACGGTCTAAGCCGATTGCTAGCTTCGCGAGCACTTTCGAAAGATATAAAACCGTAGGCAAGACAATGACTCCCATTTGGCTATCGCTCAGGGCAATGACACATTGGCTGTAAAAAGTAGAATCCCGCGGGGGTTATTAGCCATCCTGGAAAAAAAGGGAGATTAATATAGACAGAATGGAATCGCATCGCAACGTACTTTAAGAGCGCCTTTAGTAAGTCGTAGGTATCCAACAGATTCTCAACATTGACGTCCCGTAAGAATGTGAAATACTGTCGTAAAAATATTGGAAAAGCGGACCAAGAGCCATCCGGAATCACAGATTCACATTTTCCCAAAAGGTGGTCGTGATTATTTCTATTTTGCGGGTATTGATTCTTCATCTCCCCAATCATATCGTGATATACAGGGGGCAATGGAGGTTCGATTTGGAGAAAATCCTGTAGCTTCGCTCCATCTCGATCACGGATGAGCTCTGCAATGCTTATTATGAAGCTATCCACGACAGGTGTTGCTCCAGAAGGTCCACCCCACATTTTGAAATAGCGTAAGGACACAGATAACACGTTCACTTAGGTGAATGTGTCGTTTAGGAGTGACGCGCAAAGTGTAGTGAGAGGCACATGAGCGGAGGGTGAGAAGCTTGGAGACCTTTCCGATCCATCGATAGATGCAGTTCGAATGATTCCAGAGGGTATAAAACTGTAGGATAGTTGAAGGTTGTATTGATAGATCTATCTACAAGAACATAATATAGTGGTGGGTCACGTGATCTAGTGGGATCACTAACCGCAATGGCCCTAACAGCCAACACCCCCCCTTGAGATAACAAGAATCACATACAAAAACACCCAAATCATCAAGATAGTCTGTCAAAATCAAATACAAATGTAAAATTAAACATTTCCAACTTTTACATCTGTAAGATCTAGCAAAATCATGAATCATGCAAATATCACAGTGTTTAGAGATTTAGTGAGTTCATTTACTGTTATCTGAGTGATGAGAATATATTTCAAATCAATGATTCTCTGATTCAACTGTTAATGTGAAAAATGAAAATATGTATCAATGTACTTACTTCAGACTATAATGACTGTCATCTTTATAAGATCTATGATACTCTTATTATCAGTGAGAATCTGTATCAGAGATGTAATAATGAAGTCAAGCTTAATTATAAGATTTCAGATTTATGTTACTTCACAGATCATCTCACTAAGAGTTATATATTTAGTCTTATTGAAACTTAGAAATATACAAGATTACTTCAGTGATTATTATGAAATCAGATCATCTGCAAGCTTAAAAATATAGCTGAATATTAATTTTCTATCATTATTTAAGAGATCTGCTCAATCAGAATCTAAGTAGTTAAAGAATAAGTAGAAATCATTGAGAAAATCAGAGAAAACAGACCTCTCATATAAGTCATATTTGTAGAAAATGCTCAAATTCATTATTTCTTTCAGATAATATATAATATATAACAGAGTCTTTCAATATTAAGATGTTAAGTCAATATTCTATTAAGTGAGTAATAAGATAGTATAAGTAATATCAGAATATGTTTTAACTGTAAGATACTGTAAGAAGCTTATATTATATTAGTATCACTGAACTGTGAAATCAGTCTCTTTCTTAAATATTAAGAAATTATTAATACAGAATTCATTCTTCATCAGTGTTCTTATAACAGCTGTATTATTAAGATAGAAATCTTCAATAAGATATTTAATATATTAATAATATATTAAATTAATCTCTTTGTCAGAATAATTGACTTTCATACTTAAATACTTGATTAATTGATATAGATTCTTGACTTTCAATTTCTCACTAAGTATACTCACTAGCTAATCAGCATTCTCAGAAACTTCAGATATGATGTTAAGAGTATTAATATAGATTATTATATAGAGATGATATCTGAATATATAATATCAGAGTATCAGATCATAGACACTGACTGTAAATTCAAGATCACTTAATAGAGCTATTAAGTAATCATATCAGATCTTCACTGCAGAGTTCAGACTATATAGACTATTCTCAATTATATAGATAAGTGTTTTCAGTGAATCTGTCTCAAATTCAGTGAATTATCTTATATAGATCTTCTTAGTAAGACACTTATACAGATATATCATTATTATATTCACTTAACAGAGTATTCAACTATGTAGTACTGCTATTGTAAAAAGAATACAATTGATAGTATTAGTGATAACAGCAGTATAAATCTCTTCTCTAGAATTCTTCTTAAGTCAGTTATTATAAATCACTTAATATAATTTTTTAAAACTATTATCAGAATTAGTATTCAGATCTACAGATCTATCTTTCTTAAGAAACACTTAATAGCTTAGAGTAATTAATTTATTCTTTAGAATATCAGATCTAGAGATTAAACTTTATATATTACATCTCTTTAGATTAGTAATCTTATATTATATAGACTTCTTTTAATAATCTTCTATTCTCTCTGACTGAGATGTGACATTCTTATAGAACTTTGAGAGATTATCTGTAACAGAGCTCAGAGTATATATAGTTAATAATTTCACAGGCTGCAATCATGTAGAATTCAGATCATTAATATCAGAAGTATCTTTATCATTAATCAGATAAATACCAGATTTCAGTTCAGTAATATGACTAACAAGTGTCACAGATATAATAACTGATTTTAATTTTACAGTAATTAAGAATCTCATATCACTACTGATAATAATCTTGTCAGATTTGAGATTTCATAGACAATAGATTAATATATCACTGAATTCAATGATATAATAGAAATTGATATATAAAAAAAGCTTATTCACAGATCTCTGAGATTCATATAAGTGAATAAAGATCTCTGTACTTAATCAGTGAAAATGTCTTATATTCAGCAGAGTGTTCATAAGTACATATCAAGAAATCTTATATAAACTTGAAATTACAGAAGTCTCTATAGTAGAGAGTCAAAATTTTAAGTTATAAAGAACTGTAGATATGAAAGTATTATCAATTATTATAATCACTGTCTCTAGAACATCTACTCAGAACTTCTTAAAGAGATTATCTTTTAAAAGAGTAGCTCTAATCTATTTTATAATAGTGCAGATCTCATATTCAGAAACATCATTCTGATATAATAAATATAATACTATTGATTCTCATTTAATACTATATGAATTCATAACTGTGTGTATATATGTAAATTGAAAAATATCATCAATATCAGTCTGTAGAAAAGCAGAGACTGTATATCTGAGATTACTTATAAATCTGAGTTATAACTCAAAGTATTGAACAGTCTCATTCTTGAACTTTAAAAAATATACTCAACAGTAGTAAGTCACATCACAGATAATAAGTATTCAGTGTTTAATTCTCTGACAGAACTCTAAGAGATGATTAGAGAGATCTTTCAATGTATATTTATTACTTATAAAATTAATATAAATCTTCTCAATGAGTCAAATAGATCTAGACATTAGTGTTTTTAAATAATCTTATATTATATCTGTCTTGATACATTCTTTGTAAAAGAACTTAGTCTTAGAATCTTTAATAGTGACTTCAGTATGAAGATTCTTGATTATAGTAATTATAATATCAGTGTGAATATGACTGAGATTATAATATCAATTTAAAAGAGTCTTTGATATCTTTGATATCTGTGTTTTCATATCTGCAGAATTGATATTATTAACAGTAGTAACAGTAGTCACAGAAAGATTAACTTTTCAGTTAAAATTATACTTATAAAGTATTGTAATATACTTAACTGTCTTATTCAGATAATTGAAATTCTCATTGAACTCTTATTTATTAATCTTATATATGTTGTTCTGAGTGATCTGAACTGTATGAAAAATAACATCATTCAGAGCTCTGTAAATAAAAAATAAGAAAATAGTAGAAGACAATGTAAATCAGAATCTCTGATCTTCAAGCTTTATAAATAAGAGCAGATTAACTGTAATATTAAAAATATAGTGAATATTCTGTAAGTTAACATCATCACTCTCAATCTTTAAAATAATAGTTTTAATTTTCTTGATAAACTCAGTTCTCTCAGTAATAGAATTAACAGAGATGTTATCATTAAAAGATTTGATATTTAAAAAAGAATAAAGCTCACTCATTATATTCAGACTTATACATGTGTTTAAATATCAAGATCTAGAGAATGATTTTTCAGTGACTGTGAAAGAGAAATAGAACTTAATCTTTATAATTACTATATTTACTGCTGATTAAGAACTTATTAAGTCATTCTTCTTCTCTTTCTTCTTATCATCATTCTTCTTATTTATCTTCTTTTTCTTTTTATCAGAGTATAGAATGAAATATTTATTAATAGTATATTCATATCTTCTACAGTAAGTGTACTTTTATACAGATATGCTTTTATCTTCATCTTTATTCTTATTCTTTTTCACAGTCACAGAATCAGTCTGAGACTGCTTTTTCTACTCAGTAATGATCTTCTTAAATATATAATTAATCAGTTATTTTATTAAATTATTAATATTAATATTGACAATGAGTCTCTGATCAGTGAAGAAAAACTTATTTAAATATATCTTAATAAACAGTCTTTGATAATCTTGTAAGTTGTTGAGAAAAAGATTATAATATATATTCTCAGTACTCTGACAGAGCTTCTTATAATAAGTAATAAAATAGCAGAAACATCTCTGAAAAGTAAGATAATCATTATTCTTGACTTATAGTTTTATTAATTTCTTAAAGATATTAACTCATTCTTTAGTCAGTAATATTATATATTCAATATTAATCTTATCTCACAGAGTTACAGTATTATCAGCTTTCAAGATTTTAATAGTAATTTAAACATTTTTAATAAGACTCAATAGTATATGTCTATATAGAGACTTAAAACAGATCTTTCACTTCTCAGAGTTGATATAACATATAAAAGAGAATTCTTATTAAATTCTTAATAGAATGTCAGTTTCATTAATAACTTCTATATCAGTTAATATATTAATATATCAGACTTTATAATTAGAGTTATTAAATATAATTACTGATTTAATATCTAGTGTATATTTGACTTTCTTCTGATATTCTTATAACTTATCTCTTATAGTGTCTCTTTGTACAGAGATAGATATAATGAGATATTAAGTAATTTCAGCTGTAGTTATTTAATTCTATAGTATTATCTGTATAAGATTTATAAGATTATCTGCAGTGTAATAGATAGATTAATTCAGATTATTATTAAAAGTCAGCATTTCAGAGATAAGAGATAATAAAGAATTTAATAAATTAAAATAAACAGATTCTGTAGATGAATATTAACTCTGTTTTTCTTTATTTTAAAGTTTCTTTATTATCTCATTATTAAATTTCATACTCTGATAAAAACTAATCTCAGTCTTATCTTATAAGTCAGAAGTCTTCTTATAATAAGTAATTATTCTATTAATGAGTTATCTAGTGAAGTATGTGACTCTGAGTCTTAAGCTGAACTCTGAAGTAACAGATATATCACTTATATCAAGATAACTCTGCTTCTTCTAGATATATAAAAAAAAAGTGATATTCTTCACAATAAAGAATATACTTTCTTAAAAATATAAAGTATATAAATCTGCTAACTGACAGATTCAGAGAAAATAAAATATCTTTAATAAAGAGTAAAAGTCTTTTTAAAAAAAGAATGAACTATTCATATTAAAAATATTGATACAATGTTCTAAAAAGAAAAACATGCTATTCAGGCTATAATCTGTAGAATAGTTGAAGATTGTATTAATAGATCTATCTACAAGAACATAATATAGTGGTGGGTCACGTGATCTAGTGGGATCGCTAACCGCAACGGCCCTAACAGCCAACAAAAACACGGCACACAGAGAACTAGTTACGTTACATTACAGCAGAAAAACATGAACAACGTCATTTGACTCAAATGTCACTATAGGCTGCCGTAGTTTTTCAACTTTAGAACAGAATTACTCCCTCCCTCTCTCTCTCTATCTCTCTCTCTCTCTCTCTTTCTCTTTGTTTCTCTTTTTAAGTGCCAATTATAAACCCACAGGGAACGGAGATACTTCTTATCATGAAGTCCACGAAGATTAGTGCCTGTCTTATCAGTTCAATGAAAGCTCGTTTCTCATCCTGCACCCCTTAATCGATCTTGGGCGTGTTGTTCTCTGGTTTGGGGCTGCATGCGGATAGCCACGTATTATGCACTCAAACTGCCACGAGAGACGCACCGGATTGATGTTTTAATTGGCCTTATTCTTAAAACAGATCGGCCTGGCCAGTGACTACCCTCGACTTCGTTTACTTTGGCGCATACTCTTAATCGAGGCGGTCATTGTTTGTGGGGAGACAGGGTCCGGCGCATCCCTTTCATGGTTTCACGACATCTCAGGCAAATTATTGCAACATGTTGGGGTATATTTCCTTTGGAGGATTGGACAGTGTAGACTTCCTGTGCTTCTCATCACACATTGATATCTCAGTGTTTATTTAAGCATATGATTTTATTCTTTGAATATATAGGGAAATACTGCCTTATTTTTACCTATTCCCATCTTTTATCCTTTCCCTGTTCCATCCCCTTTTTGATTCACTTGTGGGTTTTGCACACCTCATTCTGTTGCCCACTATTGGCCAGCTGTGACAATCATTTCCTGGCCAACATCATCCCCTGATCAAAACATCTGTGCCTCTAACAACAGCCTTGATATACTGTAGCCGTATCTACTTCGTTCTTCGTTCACTTCCTACATCTTGCATACATATCCTATCTGTCTGTTTACTCCAAATTTCCATATCGATTCTCCCGAACAGTAAAATGCGCCTTTTTCTAACTACCGCTCTCGTGGGGCTCGTTGGTTGGGTTTCCGCGTCTGCTGTTTCCACACGACAATACTGTGGTCCAAAGTATGAAATGTGCGCTGCAGAGGGTGCCATTTCAGCGGCTCCTCCTTCCATTGGCCCAGACATGCGAAAGCTTTTCGTCTCCGTGGTAGAATCAGTTGACGTTACAAACCCCTGGAAGCGAGGGATTACCAAACGTGTTGATGCTGTTCAACGAGCTGAATTGCCTGGTCTTTGCTGTATGTGGCTGCCGTATATTTATAACCTAATCCGAAAGTTGACGGCCAGATACTAAAATACCCTCTACATAGGCAAGCTTGGAATGGAATGCCGGCTACTTGAGAATTATCAAACCTCTTTTTGCTGGGTATGTGCTGTGTATCCATATAAAACTAGCCACAACGTCATGCCGCTCTGTTTCTGGCGTGACAATCGAGAGAGCGGATAACACTAACATTTAACAGGATCGATTTACAACAAACTTCTACCTTGTCGATGGCTCCTATGGCAGTATTCTGACTGGAATTTACAACACCTCCGCTAGCGACACTATAGATCTAGTCTCGGGCAAATACACACGCTCCAACGGGGAAACAGGAAATATCTACGATGGTGACGAAGCATCTAAGCCTAATACTAGCACTATGGTTCTTCCTCCGGCATGGACAAGCAAAGGTGTCGGTACTGCCATTCCAGGCAGCGAACTGGGAGACGGAGCGACATATACAACCACCATCCCTGGCATCACTAAGGATCCCGTGACTATCCCGCCGTCCACAATTCCTGCGTCAACCATCGACGGCACAGTCATACCGGGAACCACGATCCCGGGTACAACTATACCCGGAACTACATCTCCTCCATCTACACTCACCAAGACGAGACCAAACCCAAATGAAACAGGGTCCCCGTCAGCAGCGGCTGGGGAGAAAATAGTAGCTCTGCCTATGATTGAAGCGATCTGTTGGCCTGCTCTAGTGCTTATAGCATTTTTAGGTCTGTAATCGAACATTGAATTGGGTTCCTTTACAGGAAGGCAAACGGGTTTCAAAAAATTTGGTATCGTTTTGGCTACTACGCTACGTTGGAGGTTATTTGTTCTCACCAAGTTTGCCCATGTCTCCATAGACGCAAGCCGCCAAGTCTTTGCGGATGGAGATAGCCCTAAACTTTGTCAAGCGTAAGCTATCAGTGGGCTTCAAGACATGTGATTCCAAATGCAAAATGTAATTTCACAATAGAGAGCCAAGAAGCAGCTTCGGTACCCTATATTCATTCCTCTTTTGTATTTGTTCTCATGAGTTTGTTCTGTTCCTGCTCACCTACGGTTTAGCGATGATAAGGCGAGTATATATACGAGCGTCAAAGCAGTCATAATGACAGGAGTCCTTGATCCACACTTACATTACTGCGCTCGATCAATTCCTTAACGTTTAAGTCAATATTGCTCCCCTCAACTGAACAGGAACTAGTTATTCTCCACGCCAAAAAGGACGGAAAAATGTGTTTCTTGAAATTCATCATCTCGACCGTACTACTTGCATTCATAAAACTATTACCTTTCAATGCGGCTGCGACTAAACATGGACAGACAAGGGAGGTATGTCGCCCCCATTTAGTTCTGTTATACCTGAAAATCTCTGGTCTAGAAGCTGAGAAGGTTGTTGGAGTGTTGAAAATCGTCCACTATTAGCAAATCAATTAAAAGCGAAAATGAGACTTCAGAGATCGTCTATTGGGCATCTCGCGGCTCTCGCTCGATACAATATCTTCAATAGGTACCCTACCCTTTAACTAGAGAGACTAACAAAAGACTATACAGGTTTCCTACTTTGCTGGTCCTAATAAAACCAGCCTAGAGGGTATCATCCCAAAGGGTATATGCGAAAATTTCAACAACGTCTTGTGCGTCCTAATCCCCCCTACAGACCAGAAACAAAGCAAATGACCACTGACATCCCATCTCCATACCAAGTACCGGAAATAGTGGCTCCCTAGAGATTCCATATGGGATATATTGCAGCATCTACGAGTGTGGCCCCCTATACTTTCCTGTATTTACTTTCTTCCATTGGGTTTGAGAATCCCGCTAATGATGTAACGACTACTGCATTGAATAATAGTTCGACAAACTGTACTGGCAACTGGATCTTTCAGTTAAACCACCCAGGAATTGATGATCTTTCGGCAAACCTTGTCCCATACCTTATTCCGCTGTCCATGGAATGTTTCGAATATGGAGACTGGTAGAGTTGCCACAGCCGAGGAAGGGGATGAGAGGAATTGGGCAGTTAAACTCGGATTTGAAAAAAGGTGAGCTTTCACGTCAAGGGCTCTGATGGTTAAATGACTGCTTTGAGTCTTGGTCTGGGAGATTTATTTGAGTGACAAACCAAAGGAAACTCCCGCAGCCAAACTGAAGTCAATTAACACGCACTTTGTACGTATGCACAGTCGTACCTCGCCTCTCGTTATTCTATCAGGACTAATCAGCTCGGTTAAAACGCATGTACTGGGTATACACGTGTCGGGTATTTCGTATGAATATATCGGAAACGTATGAATCTCATATGTAACAAGATATGCTTATTTCTTCTCTGTACCACTATCTATCCTAGCTAGTTCGATACAAAATATAGGGATTTTTATAGGAAAATGAATGTGCGAGCCAAGAAGCTAGCAATTAGTGAGTATTAATGAGCAATTGTAGTAGGCTGATGATGATAGGAAAAATAGTAGTAATATGATGTTAGTAGAGATCATAGCATATGACCTCTTATTTCCCAACACACTCTCTTCAGCAAATGAAGCATGTAAAAGAAGTGTAAATGAAGCTGTAGAGATTACTGCAAATATTAAGACAATTTAATCATAAGAAAAGAAGTAAAAGAATAAGAAGACAGAAGAATAAAAATAATTATCAAGATAAATCATTTATATTCTTATTTTACTTACACATGGATAATATTCAATATATTAACTAGGCTTAGTAACTTGACAAATTCTGAATGTTTCTGACACAGCAGATTTTTAATGAAGCTGTTTACTAATATCTGAGTTATAGATACTTAATTAACTGTAATATTACTGAATTAAACACATTCTCAAAGTAAGCTACTGTATATATTAACATAGTAGAGTTTTGTGATAATAAAGGGATTTTTCTTTGTTAAAATGTTAACAGTTTGACAGTTATTATGTAAGAATAAGTACTCGCAGATAATTATTCAAAGGTTTGCAGCTTGATGTGATATATACTGATCAGTGATAATTACTAGAAGTATTCATGATAAAAAGATAAAATATAGAGATTAAATATATAATCATATTCAAGCTGAGTTATAAATAGTAGTTATAAACTTCAGTCTATATAATTTTGTATAGTCAAGAGCAGCTAACTCTATTAATTATATAAGAAATAAGAATAGAGATAAAAAAATTTATAAAAAGTGAGATTTCTTATATATTCTTTTCTCTTTAAGACTTTATCTGTAAAGTTTTTCACTAAGTGATTTTATAAAATCAGACTTAGCACTGTACTAATACTTATTAAAAACTCTTTATATTTATAAAAAATCTCAGTGAGAAAAATTTCTTGTTATTATAAAAAGAAAAGAGTCTGTTATTTAGTTTTTTTATTTTTTAAAATTCTTGTATAATCTGCAAATCTTTTTTCAATTATTATATAAATTTATCTTATATCTTTTATACAGAAAAGTTTTATTAACTGTTAATTATTTTTCTGTAAAACTTTTATATAACTGTTATATAGATTTAGTTTATATTTTTTATTTAAAAGAATTTCAGTTAACTTTTAATCATTCTTTTATAAAGTTTTTATATAATTAGTACATAGATTTATTCTGTATAATAAATTATATTTTATAAAATTACTCTTATCAAAGAAAATGTGACAGACTGCTTCTAATCAATTATATAGACTATTTCATTAAACTTCACAGATTTCACTGAAAGCTCTGATTCTCAGTCACTAATTCTCAGCTGAAAAACTCATATAATTTCTATTCTTCTGCTCTGAAGCTTCACTATGTATGCATATAAATATTCACTTCAATTGTTAATTTTCATACTTTCTCTTTCTTTCCTTCTCTAATGTTTTTCACTTTTATATTATAAGATCTATATATTATACTAATCTATTCAGCATAGACCTCTTACACTTGAAAAATGTTCATCATCTTCTCATTAGAAATGATTACTTACTGAGATATTTAAACACATAACAATATGTAAGAAATAGAGAAATGATAATCAGTTAAGTGAACACTGAGTCTCAATCAGTTAAAATAAACAATCAGTTAAGTGAATACTGAGTCTCTAAATAGAAGCTTGCTTATCAGTTATTTTAATCATGTAATAAGATTTTATAAGAGAATGTCAGTGAAAGACTCAAGAGTTCTGACACTCTAGATATATAAGATATTTATATAATTACACTTCTTCTGCTTTCACAGTTATTACACATCTGATAAATGATATAATCATGTCTAATAATAATATAAGAGTAGACTGACCGTGTGACCGTGTCTAAGACCAGAATCAAACTTTACAGTTATTATATTATCTAAAAGTATTACTTCTGATCATGATTTATATTCATTACATTGATTTCAAATCATGTTATTTCAAATATTAAAGATCTCAGATTTACTTTTCAAATAAAAATCTAGTCTCAGATAAAGAATATATTTGAATTCTTAGTCACATTTTCATTCTGATTTCATTATTGAGAATGATATTAAATAAGATTATGAAATCATTTCTCACTTACATAATATCATAACATAGTACTGTAACGTGGCGGAACCGAAGCGGTGGCTAGTCAGTGATGTCACATAGAGGTAGTTGTTTGAGAAGCTGTATAAGTGAGCTTGACTATCTTGCTTGAATAGCGAGCTCATAGGCTACAGAGTTATTGTGAGAATATCACAGATATAGTACTTAGTATACTAAGGAGATTGTATGAGAAATGTAGTAACTCTTATATATATTTCAGTAGAAGAAAAATGAATTACTGACTTCTTTGATGAGAAGTCAGTATCTAGCTATTCTATATAGACAATGAATGAATACTCTTCTTTCATTCTATAAGTGAGAATAGTTAGAGTGATACCTCAGCAGTGTCTCATTGTTAAGAGTAATCTGCTGATCTTGTATAGAAGTAGAGTTCTTATATTCATCAATCAGATCTTTCTATAATATATTTGAATGATGTCATAGAGTGTTCAGACAGCCTGCAGAATGAATAAAATCATTCATATAAAAGTGATAAGCTATGTGAAACTGCAATGAGATCTTGACATGACTGAGAACATAATAATACTCTTTTCTTTAAGAGCATAGTTCTGATGCTCTTAAGATTCCTGAATTGAGAGTTATCTTTATTATATAACAATGATTGTCAACTGATTGATAGCACATGTGCTGCATATAATATAAAGAAATAGATGAGTTTTTCTGCTGACTGTATAGATCTTTCTTTACTCATCTTCATTTAAATCAAATGTATGATAAGTGAGTTTCTTATATATTGATTTAAGATGTAGAAAACATAGTTAATAAGTGACTTACAGATCTTTCATTATATTCTGTTCTATATATAAAATTTCTTATAAAAGTGATGTATTTTAAAGACAAAGCTAACAGTAGTGATAGGATTTTTCAAAAAGATCTTCTCTTTTTATAATATATTTTTCTTCTCTCTCTTCCTCAATTGTAACAGTGAGTGTAGACTGGCCGGCGGGACCATGAATTTCACATTTAATCTCATTTGATCTGGTCTCATATATTTCTTGGCATGAGTCTCACCAGGACCAAGTCTCAAAAAAATCTGAAAATAGATCATTTCTGAGAGAAATGGTGTGAAAAATGACCAGATTTAATTCAAGAACAGTGAAATGAGAGTAATTTCTCAGAATAAACTGTGAAAGATGATCATTCTTTCAAAATCAGAATGAGACTGAAACTGAAGATTAAAATCAGTCTCATTCAGTTCATTTAGTGATTGCTTATATAATCAGAATTTGATAACAATTATTGATAACACTCATGAAACAACTAAATACATTCTTGTGCAAGTTTATTCTTCACTTTCTCATGAAAACTACACTTCTGTAATATACTGTGATCAGAGATATTAAACTGTCTGATAATTTCATATTTTACAATCATGAGTTTCTTGATTGTTTCTTCTTATAATTGTTCTCAGCAATAGTGATAAATATCTCAACTTGAGTTGAACTTTCACTTCATTCTCACCTCTGTCAATGAAATTATCAGAATATTACATATCATTAGACTGACCGTGTGACCGTGTCTGAGACCAGGACCAGATTTTTTGATAGTCTCATTACCAATTCGACTGATCCCATTACACGGTTTTAACATTAGATAGTAGTCTCATACTGTTTCAGTGAGACTTACTGTGTACTCTTGTCACATTTTCCAAATGAGACTATGATTTTCACTTCTCAATTTAAATTATTTTTATTGCTTTAAATGACTTTAAATCTCATTTGAGTGTTACCAAAAAGCATTACTTTTTAAAAAATTAAAAATAGTCTAAAAAAAACCTTAAAATGTCTAAAAATAGTAACTTGATACTAAGAATAGAACTAAATGAGACCAAATGAGATCACTTTCTCATTTTTTTCAAGTCATGGTTTCATTTTAAGATCTGATATATAGTCACTTTGCATGTTTTTTTAATGGCTAGTCTCAGCGGGATTCATGCCAAGAAATGTATGAGACCAGATCAAATGAGATCAAATGTGAAATTCATGGTCTCAGCGGCCAGTCTACATATCATCAGTGTAACAGTTGAATATATACTCTCAACAATTTTTTATAACTCTAGAATTGATTTGATGTGGAAATTTATTGAATCATTTTAAAGAGAGCAGTTAAATTCAGTTTTACAAGTATGTAGTTTTGTCTGATTTTCAGTTGCAATCAATGTATGTAAGTTCTGTTTCAAAGTTAGTATTATAGTTCTATATGATATGTAGTATTATCAAAGATCATTACTTACTAGGGAATTGTATTTCACTGTCTTTACATCTTGAATATCTGCTCATTCAAATCTCTAATAGTTGATATTGTAGTAGTCTCAGGCTAATTTGATATATGAGTCTCATTTCTTCTCTGTTCAATCTTGAGAAGTGTAGATATTAACTTGATGAGAGGAATCTAGTAGAGCTGCTACAGTATAGTACTCTGCAAAAGATTGTTCAGTTTTGCTGTAGTAATATACCATTTTATTTCTTACAGTAATAATAGCCTGTGTTATAGCATTATCTCAGACTGAATTTCTTTTTGAGTGATTCAACTGCTTCTCAAGATGAGTAAATAAACTGTTATACACTCACCAGACTGACTGCAGCATTGATGTATAAGTGATTGAGACTGTCTTTGTTATCTTATAAAACTGAAACAGTAAATCAATCATATATTTCAACTAAGTTCACTTCATATCAGAAAGTTTTAATATCTGAATCTTTTCTCAATCAGAGTGTTGCACTCAATGATCAATTATCTGATATAATTGAAGAGTCTGAATAGTTATCTTATATATTGAACTTTATCATGTTCTAACATTGTGTATCATATTCAGTGATATGACTGATTTGTTGTTATTGATATCATGAAATTGTTATATTGTTCAGAGAGATATAAATCATATTAGCATGTTTGATCTTGTGAAATTTAAATATAGTCAATCTATTAGTCAATCTATTC